ATAATTCACGTGTAACGGGTACCGACGGCTAGTTTGTGAGAAGCTACTATGGTTGTGTTTTGTAAATTTGTGTGAAGTAAAATGGTGAAGAGAACATGAAAAGCATTTCAAAAATCATAACTTCAGAAATAAAATACATATCTCTAAACGTAACAACTTATTTTTTGGAGTGACTACTTAGCTAATTTATTTTATTAAATAAAAATACATTTCTTTAAAAATGTGATTTAATGACCCATAGATCAGGTGAAATAGAGCTTATCTATTTATTTTCCTTCTGTACGTGAAAGAATTATTACGTCAGCGCTATAGGCCTACCAGTCGCGTTGACATCCAAACCATGATTTCAGGGTAACATGAACTTTAATTCGTGCATGATGGTATAGGATTCAGATTACTTTTACATTTGTTGTCTTTCCGTTGTGTCTAGCCTAGAGATTTTGTGGTGTAGCTTAGCCATTTTTCGTGTGGTCTAAGCTAGCATTTTTGTGTGCTCTAGTCTAGCAATAGTTTGTGTGGTGTAGTCTAGCAATTGTATTTGTTGTCTAGCCTAACAGTTTTTGTGGTCTTGTCTAGCTATTGTTTGTTTAGTCTAAGCTAGCAATTTTTTGTGTTCTAAGCTAGCAATTGTTTGTGGTCTAGCCTGGTAGTTGTTTTTACGTTCACCCTGGCCATTTTCTTATTTGCTAGCCTGGTAATCTTCAATGGTCCATGTTAGCGATATAATATTTTTTTTAAATTGCCTAGTCCAGCAAATCTAGCATGTGGTCGCGTCAGCCCGCATCATATTTAGCAGAAACCTCTTGTTGCTAAGTGGCCGCCGGTTAGAAAACTGCGTCATAATTCCTGGTGGGGACGATGACGCAAAAATGAACAAAATGTCGGACACCAGCAGACGACAGGGGGCGTTACCCACAGCACCGGCGTTTCAACCAATCGCCAACCTTGTACACCACTAGAAAAAAAAAACTACAGCAACCAAAACGTAATTATGGGATATAATTTTCGTTATGCGGCTCCTAATTCATTTTCGTCTAGAGCCGGAAATACAGCCTCTGCTGTGACGTCATCTTGTTAACCCCCCTCCCTCAACCCCCCACCCCCACCAACCTATCCACCTGTACCACCTCCTACGTTGAGCCCATAAACACCAGGCAGTCAGGCCTTTTACGGTTTTCGCCCAGACCAGACACAATTTCTGCAAAAACAGAATGCTAATTATTACTAATTAGTTGTTGTTTTCGCTAATTATATTTTAGGCAATACGTCTACATTTCTGAGGTAGATCCCGTCTCTTGCTTTCTCGCAAACCGCGACAGATACCCAACATAGACAGATATTTCTCTCAACTATCAACGGTAAAAATATTTTCTACGGAACTTTGAATGTGAATTTTTATAACAATGTGTACGGACTTAGTCTCGCGTTTTAAAATTGTCTCTACTGTCATTACCGAAGAAACCGCAAAAGATATCTAACGTAGACAGATACATCTCATGTAGACAGATATCTCACTCAAAATTTATACTATCTACGGTAAAAATATTTTTTTATGGAACTTTGAATGTGTATTTCTTTACCAATGTGTATGGACTTTAGTCTCGCGTTTTAAAATAGTCTCCATTACCAAAAATCAGGTTAATGGTAAACGGTCACGGTTCACTAATCGAATACCAGTTGAACAAAACAGTGCTACAAGAATCAGTTGAGGTTAAGACAGGGTTTAAGCGCTGGGTCTATTTGACCTGATTCCTGTGTGGATTTCTTTTTTTTTGTTCAAACTGTAGACTTCAAGAGCGGCCGGGCTTTGAGTTGTCACGGTTGATTGGTCACAGGTAGACTTGTAAACACGATCGATTGAGTGATTCGCCGACCTCAGCTCAAAGTTTGGTTCTATAAGGTTTAGCCATTAATAATTACATACGGTAATACGGATATTAACTACAGTAAATTGTAGTCAGCGTAGTGTTATATATATATATATATATATATATATATATATATATATATATATATATATATATATATATATATATATATATATCAAAGAAACGTTACGTTATTGTAAAAAGTTTGATATACTTGGTGTTGGATTTCATTGTTGTTTTCCGTGAAAGTGTTTAATAAATTTGTTCAGAATAAAACAGTGATATAGAATATCTTTTTTATTATAAATTAATCAAGTATTACATGTTGTATTTTATAAACATGATGGTTTTAAGCCGATCTGTTGTTTGTATAAGTACAAGCCTTTCCTCAGTAGTATTAAATTGTCCTGAACAAGATGGACTCATGTTTTATTTTTACCTGGTGTCCGTTATGTTTACCGAAGCGTGACTGGACCGCCCCTGGGAGATTGTGTTTAAGATAGGATCCTAGTCTCAGATATCTGTGGCCATGACAGATACCGTGAACTCGGCAGGTTTATTCTTGATTCGAACCTGCTGGAAATGTGAACCTACAACCGCTGACTCTATCAACTATTTTAGGCTAGATTATCGGAATGCTTAATCCATTTTCAGAATTATAAATAAGTATACATACATATATATATATATATATATATATATATATATATATATATATATATATACATATATATATATATATATATATATATATATATATATATATATATATATATATATATATATATGTATGTATATATATATATATATATATATATATATATATGTATATATATATATATTTATTTATTTATATAGGCTTATATATTGCTATATACATACAATGTATGTATGTATTTTACAAACATATATATATATATATATATATATATATATATATATATATATATATGTATATATATATATATATGTATATATATATATATTTATTTATTTATATAGGCTTATATATTGCTATATACATACAATGTATGTATGTATTTTACAAACATATATATATATATATATATATATATATATATATATATATATATATATATATATATATATATATATATATATATATATATGTATATATATATATATGTATATATATATATATATATGTATATATATATATATGTATATATATATATATATATATGTATATATATATATATATATGTATATATATATATATATATATATATATGTATATATGTATATATGCATATATGTATATATATATATGTATATATGTATATATATATATATATATATATATATGTGTGTGTGTATGTATGTATTATAGCGCGGTTATGGCCATTTCCATTGTTGTGCGGTGTGCGACATTTGTTTCTGCTGACTTAGACAATACCACCTTTAAATTACTAAGTGGGCTGCTTAAAAAACACCACTGCTAATTACCAAGTAATTAAGTTGTATTTTACCCAGAACGTTACATGACAGTTCGGGGCTCTCTGCTGTGTCCGGGCTACATAAATAACGGTCTGTGTGGGGGTGGGGTAAGGTGGGGTGGGGATGGATTGAGTGTGGTGAGAATTTGAATATTTCTTGTAATTTTCACTTTTATTGCATATAATCTCATTTTTTGTTGTTTATTTCCTATATGGAATATTTTAAACTTTAATGATTATACAGGAGAATTCATAAGTCTTTTATAAACTCGTGGTGTGTTTTTTTTTAAATTTCCAACAGATAAAATTTACAAAAAATGAACAGATTATAAAGGAAGAAACATTTTTATTTCCTATTAAGCGAAACTAATAATAACCTAAATATTTCCTTTAATAGACCAAAAACGTTTGTAGACCGTGCTTTCAATATGTTAGGGTAAGGTTTTGCTTTGACTAGTTAAGTTACTCTGGAAAGAGTAGGAATATTTATATCCATGCTGTGTGGTAGGTTAGGGTTTAGCTTTGACTAGCTTAAATTAGTCTGGATAGAGTAGGAATATTTTTTATCCATTTTGTGTGGTAGGTAGGGGTTTAGATTTGACTAAGTTACGTTAGATAGGGTAGGAATATTTATAATAATAATAAATACACCTGGCAACGAATGAATTTTCGCCTTTAACCCCATCTCCCCCCCCCCCCCACCCCACAACCCACTTCATCACATATAAAGCTCCTATAATTAACATTTCATTTGGATATCTATTTTTACACATATTTGCCTGAATATATATTTAAAAAAAAAACAACATATTCTGTTTAACATACCGTTTTAGGCAAGCAATTAAACCGTTGGACACCATACTAATGTTAACCCTTATCCACCCTCAGCCCCCCCCCCTCCCATTTCAACCCACGCGTGTATGTTTGCGACGAGTATCGCCGTATGGGTGGGGGTATTCTATTTTGACAGATACATGTATCTGTATATGTCGCGCCGGTGCCATACAAGACTCAACAGCCAACCGGTACGTGCCCACACCGGCTGTGCCGTACCGCCGACGATTGTTGTAGCTTTATTCACAACTTTGTGTATTCACAAATTGTACTTCATGCGGATTTACCTGCTGCTGAGTTATGTGAACCGCTTTATTATTATTATTTTTTAAAGTTGTGTTTTTTTTTTACCGAAACGAAATTTGATAATGTTGTAATCAAATTTCGGAGATCAGCGGTATGCAAATGAGACATGGTGGAGGATTAAGGGGAAGCTACTCTCGCTGGCGTAGGTAGTTTAAAAAGTCGTTTAGAGTTATCTCTGTCTCGGTATCAGTATGATCCGGAGCCGACATTTGACGTCATAACTGCTGAGGGTGATATTTGAATTGCCAAGCACGTTTGTGCTAAAGTTTTATGGGACCTTAAAATATGCTCAAGTAATTAGCGTTTTGCTGTGGAGACTAGATTCATTTCTATCTTCCTTTGGCTAAAAATATATACTAATTTTTTAGCGCTAAAAATAATCTAGCATCCAGCATTCTTGTTCTATTGGATGGTATTTCAAACGTGTTCTCTGTCTAGCGCTTTTCTTAATTTTCCCAAGAAGTGTTTTATCGTTTGAAAATATAGGTTGTGGTAAAAAATTATATTGTACAGAGTTTTTTTTTCCTCCGAAAAGGAATGTGATATTTTCATGACTGACTAAATCCTCAAAACGAAGTGGATTAAACAAATATAACAAAAGAGACTGACATTTATCGAAGTTGAGTTAGACAACATATCAAACAAACAAATTCTCAGGATTTGTTTTTATTTAAAGTTTGAATAAATTTAATAAAAAAGGACATTCCTTTTGCACGTGGATATGACGAACGCTACAAACAGTTTCTTTTTTAAGGCTCCCAAAACTAGTTTGTCTGTCAAATTTTGACAGACAAAACAAAACAAAAAAAAAACAGAAATTAGGCCTACAGATGAAACTTTGCAAACTAGAAACCACGGGTGCTAATGCCGTTTACGAAAAAGCGGAAGTGAAACTCCGGAATAAACTTTCTTTTGAAGAGGAAGAGCTTCAGAACTGTGACAATTTTCTACAAGTGCCCCGCAAGCGGCACCACTCTGAATGGGACTGCCCTAGCTCGTCTCCCTTGGACGGCTTCATGCAATTTGAGCAGGGTGCCTCCACGCTGGACGCGAGGCTCATGCGTGGCAGCGCTTCATCCCTCTACGACCTCACGGAGAGCGGCCATTCTATCTTGGATGCGGCGTGCTTGACCTTCGACCCGGAACGCACTAACGACAGCCATTTTGATATGCTTGAGGGTTACAGTTTCCTGTGGTAAATATTTTGATTTTTTTTTCAAAATTATCTTTTTTTTTTTAAATCTCCCCTCAGACATTTGCAGATTTTGAACACCTGTGATCTTTACGTCACAACGTGAAGGCTTTGCAGCTATCGCGCAAACTAAATGCCGTTTAAAAAAAACCCATCTAAAACAATTTAACAGTCAATTTATTAAGAAATTGAAAAGTCACTTAACATTTGAACTATCGCCTTGTTATGTATATTATATTTATCTTGCTGTATACCAGTCACATAATATAGTTTTAGATTAGAGTTATTTTTAAACGTTGAAACAAATCACTTCTGTAATTTTCAAAAGACTCACACAATGCTAGGTGAGATTTTAGTACAGGAAAAACACAATCTGACTTTGATTTTCTCAACTGCAATAAGCCAGCTAAGTTTGATTTGTATGTTTCATGACAGCAGGATTAAGGAGCGAAAATTAGCTTAAATATAACGTTTGCGTAACGTGAATAGCGTCATTTAATGGTGACTACTTTGACGTATAACGCAAAGAAAGCGTGAAGTCATGTATTGGTGACTAATTTGGCGTACATAATGCAGAGTGACGTCATTTATGGGTGACGCCCTTGACGTAAATAACCCCGAGTTGAGGCGAGCTGTCGTTAACAACGTTAACAATCTTGCATCTCTGTGTAGATAGTAAACCATAGTCAGCCAGGAGCACGCTACTCTTCCCTTGCTCCAGGACATCCGAATTGTTTCCCTTGGTTAGTTAATCTCTTTGAACTAACGACTCTAGTAGTGCTGAACGAGATACCATCAAAACATCAGAGCCGTGCAAGAAGGACTGGGTGGGCTTGCTGATTCACGGGGTGGGGGGGGGGGGGGGACATGGAGGGTGGGGGGGGGTGGGATGGCTTGCAATTCATTCATGTTAGGCTGAAACGTTAAATGTTTTTAATGGTTTAAATTTTATAGAATAATTTCTATCAAATATTGCATTCCTAACTGCCAAATGACCTCGCAATTTAAATTTTTTTTTTCAATAAATGATTAAATGTCAATGAAACTAGACAGCACGTATTCTTATCATGAGTGTACAATTGGCATAATGAACTCATTAACGCACCATTATCATTAAAAACCCACAAGTTCTCTTCCCCTAACCCCCTCCATTTGTAGAGCTATCACTTGATAGTCCTCGAGTACGGACGTCCCTTATAAAAACAAAATACTTGCTGATCTGGCAGTATTGAGAGAATTATGAGACCTGTATGGTGTCCTACCACTAACAATAGCGGAGAGGGCTAACTATAGCCCCATAGCCACGCTACCAAACACTAGGGACCAGGGCTAACTGTAGCCCCATAGCCCATCTATCTAACTCTAGGGACCAGGGCTAACTATAGCCCCATAGCCCATCTATCTAACTCTAGGGACTTTCGCTAACTGTAGCGCCATAGCCCATCAAACCAACAATAGGGACCAAGGCTAACTATAGCCCCATAGCCCCGCTACCAAACACTAGGGACCAGGGCTAACTGTAGCCCCATAGCTATCTTACACTAAAGGGCTACAGTTCCCACAGAAAAAAAAACACTATTCCCTCTTGTAAAACGTAACAACTGACGACTCAACAAAAAAAAATTTCTTTAACCAAACAAGCAACACCGGAACGGCTGTCAAGCTGATTTTATTTATTTGATGTCATTATTAACATTTCATTATAATTACACGTGTCGCAAATCTCTGTATGACACACACAAAAACACCCCCCTCCCCTAAAACATCCCCCCCCTCCACCTTTTAAATAAGCTTAGCCATGCTTGACTTATTTCTATGTTGAAAAATCAAATGGTTTTTTAATAATACTATAACGGCGTAAAATATATAAGGGTATAGTGTTAGTACCCAGCGACCCCAGTTCCTGTATTGTAATGGTGGTCCGTTGGACCGTACCCAGATATCATTCCGACAATGTCGAATACTTCATCGCAACCGCAGGCTAAAATGCACGTTGAATATTCCACCTCATAAATCCTATTGATACTTGGTTGTTTTTTTGTCTTGTCTTACCGCTCCAAATCACGTGAGAGTCATGTGGTGTGTGGAACCACGTCAGAAAAAAAAAATGGCGATCTTTTGAACCATGTTCGAAAACTTTGAGATCCCGGCTGTTAAGGGAGACAATTAGCACTCGGCTGATAAATGTCAAGTTTTGTTAGTAAAAATACGTTAACATTAGAGGTCTACGACAGTACATATTAATTTGTTTAAAGATATTTAGTGTTCAAATAGCTTGTGTTGCGTTAGCTTTAAATAAACCACAAATAAAATATAATTATGAACTAAATATATCAAAAGGTAAACCATAGTATATTGTCATATGCGCTGTGTACTTGTTCCTAACTAATTTCATGGGTTTAAGTGGGTGGAAAAAAATCGGCGAGTGTTAAAAAAATTAATTATTCCCATCAAGTTCTAGATTCCAGTTCCTAATATGTTGAAAAAAAATAACTTGCACATATTTCAAAACATAAAAAAGTTATAAAATTTCCCATCCAACATTCGCTAAAAATCCTGCGTTCAAAACAGATTTAATATTTTATTGCAAAACATTGCCAAAGCAAGAAGGGTAAGCGTACAAAGGGCGACCACTCTAAAGTCTTTCGTTCTATAGTTGTCTTTCATCTGCACGGAAAACATCGGATGTGCATGAGTGATCTTTTTAAAAAGTACAATTTCCAACACAAAGATGCGGAAAGTTGCGTCTTAATACACTTTAAAGTATTACGTTTTTTTTTCTTTTTAATGTCTGGGAAATATTTTCTTACCCACTGTTAGTGTTAACTGCACTAGACAGAACAGCTAGTAGAAAGAACCGCTGGTAGGCAGAACAGTAGATAGAACAGCTGGTAGACAGAACAGCTAGTTGATAGAACAGCTAGTAGACTGACGGATGATGCAAAAAAAAGTCAGAAAAGCAAACAAATCTAGATCTATGTTCGCTTTACCCATCCATCATTTCGAATAGCTCTGATTTTTTAAAATGGGAAAATGAACTTGATATCTGAATCTAGAAACGAGGTTTTTGATAATCCATTCTTGTATTCTTGTATTCCTATTTTTAAATATATTGTGAAACTTTTAAAAAGACAAAGCCATTTTTTTTACAATTGTATTTTCTTCTTATTTTTCAATTCTTTAATAAATCTTCTCCTACGTGGCAACGAAATTTATTATATTTTTTTAAATTTTCATTTACAATTCTTTTTCTTATTGTTATTGTTATATATAAATATATTTTTTTGAAATATAAAATAAACTAGCTTTTTAAAGACGGGTTCAAATACTAGTAAAGCATTTTTTTTTTCACATATTATGTGTATTAAAATATGTAAAGTGGCGTAAAGTGACGTAAAACCTAGCCCTGTATAAATTAACGAGTAATTGACTTGACATACAACTAAAATAAATTCGATATAATTAGAAAAAAATGTGTGTATATTATATATATTACGAACATAATGACACACAAAACGTGCATAAAATAATCCCACATTAAGATATAAAAAATACATTGAATAACCTACAACAATATGCAAAGTATCAATGATTTAAACATTAAGCACACAAACACGCACAAACACGCACGCACGCACACACACACAGACACACAGACACAAGCACACACACACAAACACACATTTGAAGAGTTGGGTGTTTTGAAACCAACCAAGCATGCTCATGTGAAGTGAAGTTCCTGCCTTATTTTTTTTTCTCCTAGACTGAAGAGTTATCAAGGTGAAATAATTCGTTACAGAAATAGAATCAATGGGAATTTTTTGCGTTACATTAAGGGCCCTGGACTTTCACAAAAAGTACTACAGACATACATACATACACATACACACACGTCTATATACACAGAGACGCACCTGGGACATACAATACTATGAACACATATAAAGTCACCCATAGACGATGAACTCATACACGCAGAACCATACAAAGTAGGCTCAATACTATACACACACATACAGATACATACAAAAAACACACATTTAAATAACGGTGTAGAAGTATGATTCACATGTGAAATTTTTCTAAGGGTTTCACTGTTGATTATTTAATAATTGAAAGGTTCACTAAAGGTGATTTCTAATCTTTATGCTACGGCTGATTTTAAAACTTTTAATGGACACCAGCGAGAAAAGTCTCAAAGGTATTTGAGAGGTGCATAAATTAATTTAAAAATCAGGCACGGCGTAGTTACAATTAATATGGTTATAAAATCCTGTCTGTATGGTTTTTTTTCGGACTTTACTAAAGATTGGGTGTATTTGATGTTTTTTAAATTTTTGGTAACTAAATAAAAATTTTAAGAAAAAGCAAAAACTGTTTGGTTTTCACGTGTAATGGCGACATAAACAATGGCCGCCATAAATTTTATTGTACACATTGTAAGCTAAAAATAGAAAAAATAGGTCATGGTGTTTAAATTTGCATAGTTATTTAAAAACTTGATCTGCAAAGTTTTGTAAACAAAATAACTATAAAGTGGGGCTGTCAGAAATCGATCACGGAGTTCATTTACAGCCAATCAATGTTTGTCTTACGAAAGTGAAACATCGGGTTATAACTTAGGCTTGATGAAAATAAATAGAAATGTAGCCTTAAACTCAACAAATTATTTTCAAGTTCTCTGGATCTGCAACTTGTATAGCATTGATTCTAAAAATATTACATTTCTGAATTAATTTTAGGCTTAAGTTTTTAATAAAATTTTATCTTTTATTAGTTTTATGGTCCTAAATCTAAATAAGCACATTTTTATTCCATGTCAACAACATTACGGAAGTAATCTCGTCAACTCGCTGGTGTTCATTACAATTGATTACGGTTTCAATAAAAGCTATTTTAAAAAGTGTGCTTAAAGCTAATTTCTAACCATTTTATCATATTTAATTCCGCTACAATTAAATTAAATAAATAATTTAATACTGTTAAATTTCTCATTATTTTGT